TCAGCTTGGGATATTCTCCACAACACTTCACAACATAAGACTTGCCATCACCATGTAAATCCTTCCCTGGCACCAGTGGATCACCAGGGCCAGGGACAAAGGCTGGCTTCAGCTCCAGTGACTTCTGCTATGTGAGCTGTATGGGTCAGGATCAGGTCCTGTGTCATTGCGCTGGCACTGAGACCCCTGAGCCTGGCTCTGTAGGAGCCATCGCCAGAGCATAAGATGGGACTGTGAAACTGAAAATACTCTCTGAATTAATAGCGTCTCTTTGGTGATTTTAATCCCAGATAATGCGGGAACGTGATAACGGAGTAGTTTGGGCCTGTATTGAAACAGGTTATGTTGCGTGATGTGTGACGAATCTACGGTCATTAGCACAAATGACATTAAGGATGCCTGTTAGTCTGGAGTGTGTTACTCGTGAAGTTATTAATACAAACCCAATTGTGAAAGGGAGCCATTTTAAAATAGACTGTGCGCGGCAACCTAAGCAGGAGTTATTATATACCAATTATAGAGGCAGGAAATCCACAAACCAATGCTGTGAAGAACGCTTTCAGGCATTACCTACAATTTTTGTAATCCGTTAACCGGCGGGAATGCCCTCATTTCCCAAAACCAACTGGAAGAACCCCTACAGAAAACAAGTTCTGTTCAAAAAATGGCCTTCAGCCATGCCATGACCTCCATTTAAGACTGTGGCGTTACACCTGAGAAAACTTGGCTCGGTCAATGTAAACCCAGCCAGGCAAGTCTGAATATAGAGCAGGCAGGCAGCCGTGCACACCACTGCTTAATGCGTCTTGGTCTGTAGCATCTGTGCCAAGGTGAACCTTGTCTCTATTTCACGTAAGTAAAGAAAGAGAAAGGCAGCCAGGGATTTTCCCTGGGATTTTGCAAGGGCAGCGGGGAGGCTGTAGCGGTAGCTGTAAAGTCTGCTCTCGTGTCAGGCAGGGCAGGTAGGGGAATTCCCTCCATCTGCTTGTTGACTTCAGGCAGGAACGCACGACAACTGAAAGCACTTACACAATGCACGACAGGCTACTCATGCTGCAGTGAATTGACAAGCAAGCTCAGCCCAGTGGCAACTGTGGGCTCTGGACAGGACTCACAACACAGTCTTTGGATTCTAACAGCTACTGCAGGGTAATGGTGTGGGTTTCAAAGGGTCAAGTGCATGCTTTCTTTGGAACAAAGAAGTTCTGTCAGTCAAGGGGATGAGCGAGAGAGGTTTAAGTTCTATGAGTGTAAGAGCTGGAGTGGAATACAAAAGCCTGCAAATGCCTTGGGGTTTCCATGCAGCATACTTTTACTTGTGGCCATATATCACCAGGCACCATTTGCCAATATCACCATTTGCAAAGATCTTAGCGAGTGTGCAGGAATTCATTTATCATCTGTCCAAAGCTCACAACTATTTGAATTCACCAGGGCTATTTTTGGGCAGGAACGCACAGGAACGGAGTTCCGGCTGGCTTCAGAGTTGGCCATGCCCACTACAGCCAAAACCTCTGCGTGCCTGGCTACAGAGGGAAGGCCTGGAGAGCGACACCCCCCCCTGTGACTCTGAGGTGGGGGGGCCCGGGGGGGGCCCTGGAAGGACTGGGGAGGCCTGCCCAAGGGCCTGCTTGCTCGGGAAGGCATGGGGTGTGGCCTAATATGCTAATGCACTGCGCGGTCAGGGATGTGGCCTAATACGCTAATGAGTTGGGCTCTGTGATGTGAAACAGAAGCATCTCTTTCTAAGCAGAGGTGAAAACATAGTTCATTGGAAAGGCATTGGAGACTGAAGGATTGTTCCTTCCACTGACAAAGCTGTAGTGAAGTCTGCTTACACTTCCTGAATACCTCCCCCATTAACCTGCAGCTCTCTCAATACTGGCATATTGCCTCCCTCCAGCCTAAGGAATATTTCCTGATTTAAGTGAAGGACAGTTCCTTAGCCCACAGGAAAGCTTCAGACTTTGAACAGTGGAATGATAGGATACATGCCACATGGTCATATGAACCCCAGTACTTATTTCAGATTTTGGTTCTTGATTGGAATACTATAAATCAAATAGAGGATCTCAGCATTTATTTGAACCAACTTCTCCTCACTGAGGGATGTGGAATGGTATCATGTATCCCAAGATCATGGAAGCTAAACATGGGAGACCACCAAGGATGATGCTGCAGAGGAAGTCAGTGGCAAACCACCTCTTCTTAATCACTTGGGAACTCTATGGGATTGCCATAAATCAGCTGGGACTTGATGGCGCGTTACATGCACACTTCCTCAGTGGAGGTCTAGGCATAAAATATGGTCTTCCTTTGGTAATTCAGGGTTACTTGATTCTTGGACCCACCAGACAGATTGGCAATGAATTAGGGAGTCTAGTTTTGAATTGATTAAAAAAACCCTCTACCATTGGCTGCTGCTGCTCTTGAAATGTGAAATCAATCCCTTGGCTGTTGGGTTCCAATGAACCAAACATGCTTTAGAAATCTGGACTCAAATTCTGAGTGGCAGAGCTGAACCCTTGCAATGTGCCTCTAAGGCTGTGATCACATGCACCTTTAGATACGACATAGGTGCAAATGCCTGATGGATCTAAAGGGAGCGATCAGACAGCAACATCTGGGAAGCATTCCTCAGTCATCGGCAACCCGTGCTGCTCCACCGCAGAAGTGGAGTTAAAAGACACCAGGGAAAATTCAGTACTAAACAGGTTCCAATGGGCCACAGACGGAATTTCCCGTCAGAGCACTCATGCCATCGGGATGGTCTGATCCGGCCATTTTTTCAGTGCCATCCCCCCCCCCTCAGTATGCGCATCATTGCATACTCCATAGGGGGCCCTCAGTGTGGAGGTGGGATTCTTCATTTATTCGGATGGGAAACAAAGGGCCAACCCCCCCCCCCGAACTCACCAGCAGTTGTGTCTGATCACACAGTGACAGGCTGCACCCACAGCTACAAAGGGAGATGTGACCTTGCAACTGCGTGTCAAATTCTTCTGGGGGAAATAGCCTTGCTTCCCCTCCACTTCATCAGGCATGTGTGACAGCAGCCTAAAGGTAGTTTTTGTATTACATGTTGGCTGTAAGAAACACCAGTTGGATCCTAGTGCTACCTACAGAAGTTGTAATGTGGGGAGCTTAATTTGGGCGATAGTTATCCACCAATCCAGACATTACAAGGAAACCTTCCAGTAAGAACTGATTGTCTTTCCACTCTTTGAATCTCTTAATCTTATCTTTCTAAAGTGCTAAAAATGTAACTAAAAAAACAGCGATTTAGTGCCTTGACAAATGCACCAAAGACTTGGGATTCTTCCCACGTCAGCTCCACATAGGTATATAAACAGATTTCCTTCCTCTTCTGTCACCCACGCCCACCCTCAACACTGACTAAACTTTCTATTGCCATAAAAGGTTCCCCCATTAAAACTTAAACTTCCCCTGTGGAGCTGCTCTGCTCCCATCCCCAGTGCATGTAAACCCTGATGAGTATTTCTCTTTTTCTGCAATGTAGCATTAATGGGGCCCATATAGGGGAGAGGATACCCACAGATGCCAGACTGCAGAGGAACTGCAAGAGCCGTATCTTGCTAGACAATGAGAGCTAAATGCAGCACTGAAGAGTTACAAAAATATAGCTGGGCTAGCAATTCCTTTCAAATATAAGTAATGCTATGAAATGTCAGAAAATAATGCTTGTCTTTCTGTATATATACTCTCCTTTCCCAACCCCCAGCCCAGATTTATGCATTACATTTTAATTTTTCTGTTGCTTCTGTTTAAATACATACATACCCCCACACCACACACACACATCCTCACTGCAGGCATTCCT